GGTAGTGGGAGCATGATAATTATGACAAAGGTTGCAAGTTAGCAATGTTAATTATAGAAAACAAAAGTTTCAATTCGTGAGGCTGCAGGGGTTGAAAAAGTTGTTTTGCTATAATTAAGGGAGAGGAAATTATACTTCATTTCAATTCTAAAAGCTTAGATTGAGATTTTAATCGTATTTAATCAAGGATATATATATGAATTTCATGTTGGAATGGCTCAACATAAGGAAATTCTATATATGGGTCCATTATTTGCGTTCTAAAATTCGATTATGATTACGGCATCCCTTTTCATAATCTGAATTTTGAGAACTTGGCAAATTGAAATGGAAATATTATAGCAAAAGACTGGTTTAGTCTTTATGTGAGACATCATGAATCGTGTCCCATATGCTTCGGATATAGGATCGATTACATGTGCTATATTTATCCTTTCTAAAATTTTCCAAATGCCTGGGGCATTATGAAGGAAAAAGGTCTAGAATTGGATATGACTAAAATGATTAAGCAATTGTCGAGGACAATCTAAGGTTTACCAAAGATTGGTTGCTCAAGGACAGTTGGAAGTATAATGTTAATTCTGGAAGGACCATATTGACATAATCTGTAAGGAGGCAACTCTTGTTCAGAAGTGATAGTCAAAATGGAATATGAAAATGTTTCAAAGTTAGAAATTGTTCAATAAATCTGTGTAAGATTAGGAAACTTAATGCAAGAAGGATGTTTCCAAGGAGTTGATCTCCTTTGGAATGCTCTGTAATGTTTGTTGTCAAATCTTTCTGACTTTGTGCATAATCATTACAAGAGGATCAATGCATATAAGTTTAGAATCTAACAGATTTTAGTAAATGGCATGAATTTGGAATTCTTGCATTTGCAGTAAGGAATTGGGAATATGAAATGAGAATCGTTGGAGTTATGTTCAATTGATCTATTTCACAAAGTAAAGATCATAGACAAACATAGTATGCATACTTGGTGTATGGCATGACTGGTGTTTAGAAAAACATAGTGTACATGCTTGGAGCATGGGACAACTATTGTTTTAAATTCAAGAATAAAGTTGATAGGTGAAACAGTATACAATGAATAATGTGTAATCATATGGTGATAAATAAAAGGTGTTTTATTTATATTCATAAGTTCTGAGACCATATTGGATTCGATTATTATTGTGTTTCACTTTGCATGTTTTGACTTCCAGAATAACTAGGTCATTGTTCTGATGGACTAAGTTATTCAAACCATCCACAGTCGGTCATATGTTGGAAGTAGATATGAATCAAGACTGTCATGGGTTGGCTTGTAGAGGTCTAAGATGTTGGACAAAGGGCTACAACACTCATGAGTGCTCATAAGTTCTGAGTATTGGATTCAACCCGCGCTCATTGGAATCACTTCATGGATTTTATCACGAGTGATCATGAGACGATAATATCTTATATTCTTCAAACCTAGAGATATGAGTTGTTACTATGAGTTGGTTATACATTGATTGCACGAAAAAGCATTGGTAACTCGATGTTATAAAACGTGCCTTTGTGTATGATTCAACAAGTAGTAGAACAAGCCATATGAGTCGAAGTTTATCCATTCCTTTTACCTTTGGGATAAAAGCGATATCTGTGGGCCCCTCGATGATTTGGTGATGACAAATGTAAGTGCTCGGCTGGGCCAGGACTGATTTGATTTGTTCAATTAGTCAGTCGTCATAAATCGGAAATCGGGAAACAACAAATGGACAGAGAGAATGATTATAATCCATGTCTCAGTCCATATGATATCTAGAATGGAGGAATATATGATCCCTTATCTATTGGACAAGTCATTGACAAAGGTCAGAGATCATCGGCAAGGTCACGGTTCGACAGAAGCTTTTGAGAGCTACGATTGCCAGTCGGTTCTTGAAGTCATACTTGCAATAATAGTTTTAGACTTATCCAAGTGGGAGACTGTTGGATTAATGTCTAAGTCCATAACTATAATTGGTAAGACTTGACCCGACTCGGCATGGTCCATTTGGGTTGCATGGCATCATGCATTTGGATAGACTATAATGAGAGAAATAACACTTAAGGTTTGTGAATATATTATAAGTTCTAATATATTAATAAGATTATTTAATTAGTATTGATCAAGAATTAATCTAGGATTAATTAAGTGATCAAAAGAAGACTAATTAAATATATGGGTTGATTGTGTAAATCATTCATTCTTATATATGTGGGCTTGTGATCCAAGATTCCTTATGTTGGACTAAGTCCATGGGGTGACCCATGGATACTCCATGGAGGTTAAAATCCATGGAGCATAAGGAATGGGTAAAGTTAGGAGTTACATAGTGTAACCCTAATAGCCACCATATAAAAGAATCACATGGCTCAAGAAATCGTGGACTAGTGTGTGTGTGTATGAGGGCTACACGATTTCAAGAAGTGTTCAATTTTTCTCTCAAGTCATTCCATGTGCATTTGGTGTTGTGTGAACCATTTGAGGTGTTACACTTGGGGCACTAGGCACTCAAGCTTCATGATGACATTCTACATCAAAGAGGTATGTATTCTATCTTGTTATATTTATTATTTTGTATGCTAGATTAGGATAATACCTTGGATGTTCATAATTGTATGTATAATAGAGAAAAACATAGATCCAAGGTATTTAGGGTTGCATGTACACTTAGGAGTGTTAGAATGCTCATAACCCAAGACTTTCCTAGTCCAAATAAAGTTAAGTCGACCTTTGATGTCTTTTAGAACTCAAGAGCTTCGGACCTCATCCCTCAAGGGCTTGGTGAGCAATTTTCAACAAATGAGCTCTAACTCGGAATTTATCACTACTCGAAACCGCGTCGTAACGAATACCTCATCGCGCCACAGTGGGTTAAATGATACCATGGTATTCCTTTTGCCACGTTGTGGCGACTATTCTTCATAGCAACCTATTTTTCCCACCACGTTGTGGCACCCATATACTACACCGCATAGCCAAAGTACGTTGCCTACGACTTACGACAGAGAAAGTCCCAAATCACAGCTTCTCTCACCTCGTCGTGTAAGCGTCTCACCGCACTGTGATGAGGATGGAAACAACATTTTCATTCCTTTTTCAATGCCTTTCAAACCCAAACTCATATCTTTCAGTTCTGTTCCATTCTTAAACCAATATAAGACATTCTTATAGCTTCAAAACACAAGACAAATGCATAGAACATATCAAAAATATTTCACAAATCTAAATATCATCAAAAGGAGCAAAATGCCCATGACATCAAAACGAAAATCCACATCATAATTATCCCAATAATCCGGTTCTAACATATCTTCACCGACGGGAATGAATAGTAGCTCATGAAGATGCGCATATCCATTTGTCCGCTTTTAAGCAATGTCAGGACCTCCTATAGCTCCGGGGCCGATTCTCATATCAAAACCTTCGTCAAATGAACTGTTGTTGCTCCGCCCCCCGCTCCTTTTACTTTTTTTTAATGATTTATTAGATTTGTAAAACAACCAATGTCTTCGGTTATGATAATGAATTTTGAACAATTTTCATAAGCAACTTTTGGAGGTCTGAGTTCGCGTTTACATATGTTGACTCAAGCTTGTAAATGATGGGATTTCGGTTTCCAACCATGATCTCTAGCCGATCTTTGTTAGGGGGTTGTGCTCTCGCGTAACAACATTGGGAAAGAGTGGGTGACGATCGGAGCATGAACCATGGTTGGGGTAAGTCGGTGTATATGTGGATGTGTGTTTATGTGTCCCCTTCTACCGTTTGAGTTCTTCAATTTTGACTATTGTAAATAACATTGTGAGCCACATCATCTTCAATTGATTGTTTGGCACATAGAACCGATTATTTCAGGTTAAGAGGAACAAATAAACATGTCGACATAACTTTATACTCCTATAAAGCAAAAAAAAAAAAAAAACAAACAAAAACAAAACAAAAACAAAAACATGAGTGACCATTTAACCAATTCGAGAAAGTTTGTTGGGCATCAGTGACATTATCCTTACATTTTAAGCATAAGACGAGATTATTAGCACAAAAATGTGTCACAGTATCATCTCATGTGTAATATGCTGTGTTTTTGGCAAAAGAGATCAATATGTCTTGGTAAAAATAGATCCAACCCACTATTGGATAAATTTCAAACACAAATGTTTCGAATAACTTTTCAGGTCAACAAAACACGAAGACAAAAGGCACCTTCATTTCCATTAGAAAACATAAAAACCAACTGAAAACAAGACTGCTTAGAATCACAGAGCTGTAGAGATGACCAAAGGCCGGATGAGCCACAATCGTACTTCCTACTAATATACTATAATGATTTTAACCTGACATTGGAGACAACTTGAGACGAACATATGTTTTTATGAATTATGACTGAAAATTAGTTTATTCTCAAATATGCAAATTCCAGATAATCTCTTTTTATCTTAAGTAGAAGACACAAGAACAGTAACTATCAAAAGGGCATACCTTTATATGTCTTTTTTCTTTTTAAAAACTCAGTCTCATTCATATATCTTGCTAGCATATTCATCCTCCTCAGAAATGCTAGGAGTTGTCAGAACTTATATTGTCCCTTACGCTCACATTAATTATTGATAGTTAAGATTTCTTAAGTGTGCTAATGCTTCAATTTCTGCTAATTTGGATATGATACATTCTTTTAAATTGGCCCCAAGGAGGTTCTGAAATATTGTAAATCTTTCTATTTCATTCCATCGTGAAAACATTTTGGAGACCAGCATGTAACGATTAAGTTGTGCTGTTATTTATTTATGTAATGAGAAAAGGACAGGATCTCAATGATACAAAAGTATCTTAGGGGCCTTCAGGTACACGAGATGTTCTATGAGATAATGCTCTAAAGTGAACTTGGTCATCTCATGAGAGAAAAAAAAAACACTAAAGATTTGACAATGATTTCAAATAATCAAAAACATGAATTATTTATCATAATAACACTATCAAAAAAAGTTATGGATGCTGTGTATGGGGATTTTAGCCTATCAATTTAGTTACTCTTAAACTGCAAATTGGTTGTGATGATATCTGCTGGGTACAAAAAGCATCATATAAAATATTTATCGAAAGAGGCATATAACTTTATAGTGAGCATCTTTGTCATTTAGATTGAAGAGGTTATCTTCCCAAAAGAAATCGCTGTATAGGGAGCATTTTATTATATTATTAGCTTTAAACCAGAGACATCTCCACCAGTGACTTCCATGATTTGTAATTAACTCAAGGCATCTTCTCCCATGTTTTCATCATCTTACACCTCCTGATTTTTTACAAACTCCATAATTCTCCACCAATACCTCTTTCTGAACTTGATCATGCCATCTATTTCTGGGTTGGACAGATGCAGTGATCCCACGCCTCCTTTTCAACAATATGATTATCAGCTGCAGAACACTTGAGATTAAAATCTTCAACGATCCAAGCAACCTTATGTTTCTTGACCATGACCAATTCAGCTGTTGAAATATAGATAATTAAACGAAACATGTTACATACAAGCACTACAAAAAATTTCAGCTAGGTGCCTTAACGCAATATAGAAGAAGAACAAAGATTGAAGTATAAGCTTTAAAGTTCACCTTTTGGCTCTTCCAAACTTTTTGCAGGTCCCTGTAACAAATATCAAGAGTTTTCAAGTTTAATGATTCAAAGTGTGTGACCAAGTATATAGAAAGTTCTAGGTGTCAAAAAGTATGCCTCACGTGTGTGATCACATATGTCGGACTATCTTCGGGATAAAGCTCTAAAGCAACCTTTCTTTTCTGATGATTGATGAAAACAGATAAGAATTAATACATTAACTACTATTCACATACATCCACTTAGACAAAGCAGTTGTATTGGGTCTTGTTCTAGATCCGATCAGGTATATTTATGTGATTCAATATATCATAAAACTTGATTAAGTGAACCAACCAATCGATCCATTTAGACAGATCCGCTCGGTTGATTCGTTGAATACATAAACTATGAATTTTATTTTTCATATCCTACAAAAAGTAACTTTTTTTTTTTTGGAATTCAATAAACTAATAATAAACAGGTAGACTTTGGTCATGATCAATATACTAAAAATAATTAGGTTAATGATCATTCTATTTAATAGTTCAGATCATTTTGGTACTAGATCCAGTTCAACCGGATTCATGGACAACCTATTCATAGCATATATATTGGTAGTGGATATTGTTGTTATGCAAGGAGAAAAGTATTCCTCCTTGAATAAAATCCAGGTCTGATATTAGTAAACAATGTTGGTTGTATAATGGTCTTGGTTACAAATACTACTATACTAGATAATAAGTAATACATAAGAGACAACAAAATAACATCTAATAAGAATATATAGTATTTACCTTTATATCTGGGGCTGTCTTTTTTTACAACATCACGATAAAATGGAACCATTCCAGTGCCACCATGCCACAGATGCCGCCTGCTGCTTAGGTAGTATTCTCCTGTTGTTGCTTGAAAAGAAGAGAGATCTCCACCAATGATGTGATTCCATGACTTGTAATAACCCAACACATCCTCTTCTTCTTCATCCATCTTTCCATCATCAAACACAAAACTCACCCCACACTCCTCTGTAAGTTGTTCTACTTCTTCTGTTACAGTAGTAATAGTAACCTGATCTCCGCCTTCCATTTCATTCATCCCAAACATCCAATGGCTTAACAATATTACACATTCTTCACGTACATTGACTCTGTAAACATAATGATTGTATATCCAGGTGCAGTTCTTCGTTAGATTACTAATTGTGATCATTGGCAAAAGTATGAACTGGTCATATGGAAATGGAAACGTGTACACGTAGCAGAAGTTCAATCCTCTAAGATTGTTAGGAGATGATGGGATAGTAAATGATACTGATGGCCCCTTGCTTCTACAACTAATCCAATTCGGCATCTCTTTTCCCCCATAAATGGTGCTGAATATTCCAAATTCATAATACATCTGCAAAACAGAACCACCTTAATTAGTCACTATAATATATATACAAACACACACACAGACATAGTTAACAAGATCCAAACCTGGATTTCAGATTCCTCTGATCCTCTACCCCGAAAATAAGTTCCTACACGCATTATGTTAAGGAAATCTAGATTAGTCCAGCCCAAACTACATAATACCTTTTCCTCAACACCAACCATCGGTTGGATTTTAATCATGCCTTGAATTTCAATCGACGAAAGTGCTAAGTGATCTGAAAGTATCGACAACTTGAGTGGTAACATTTTTGGATCAAAAACAACTTTTCTTAGCAAAGTTTTAGAGCTAAAACCGAGGTCCAACTCTTTTATTGTATATGGAGGATGCTCCACTGACGTCAACAATTTACACTCACTCATACTAAGCATCTCAAGCCTAGGAAGACTTCTCACACAATTGGGAAGGGAAACTATAGGGTTGCCATCTAAATTTAAATCCTTCAACATAAATAGCCAACTGAAGTCCAGGGGAAAGGATTCAGTTGAAAAATTATTATTTGCAAGTGACAACCTTACTAAAGAGCTCGGTATAGAAACCGCAAAGAACTTCAAATCACTTGGTATAGCTTCCACAACGGAGGAGGAAGAGGATTTAGCCTTGACTATTTCTCGTGAATCCATATCCATAATCTCCATTTGAGATTCACCGAGATTACAACCCTCTAGCAATAGTGTTGTAACCTTCTTTAGCATATTTATGGTTTTTGGAAGTTTTTCAAGGTTGTTGCAGTAGCTGAGATCAATTAGGAAGAGTTCAACACATGCTTCAATTGATTCACAAACCTCAAGCAAACCAATGCAATTTGTAACTATTAACCTCTCAAGTGCCGGGAATTCCTCAAAGCCTCCCAAACTACGAAGCTCTTCACAAAAGCTTAAATTAAGAATCTTTAATGATCCAAGCAACCTTTTGTCTTTTAAGCATGATTCAGTCAACTGCTGAAATGGGAATAAGTTAGAGTATTAGTACATTTATCAACTTGGCATTGAAAAATAATAGATGCTGATAAGTTACCTTTTGCCTCTTCTCGGCTCTTTGTGGATTACTATCATAAATGCCAAATGATTCAATATTGCTATATGACATGTCAAGAACAACCAGATTTTCCATCGGGTAGTCTAAAGGCAAAGACTTTAAAGGGAACCCATGCATGCACAACCATCTCAGTTCTTCTGGAAAATTCTCGTAAGACCCACTAATATTCAGATAATTGAGTTGGAGTAGCCTCAAATTATCCATGTTACTCAATGCATCTGTTTTCAGCACAAACGATGCACGCAACGTCTCTTTCTCAAGCATTCTCATGTCAAGTGCAAGGCCTAGAAGATTTCCCTTATCCTAAGATAAAACAAAATGTCAAAACAAAAATTTAAATGCTAGACAAGGCGTCTTAAAAATACTTTAAAAAATAAAAAATACTTTAAACATGCATACAGGGCCTCTTACCTTTTTTTGTTTCAACACTTTGAATGACTCCTCATGACACCACAATCGACTTCGCTTCCATGGCTTGTCAGGCGATTCTTGATGTACTATGAATCTTCCTGTCTCTTGAAGCAACTGATGCATCTTGAATTCATTATTCCATCCGATACTAAGAAGGCATCTATCAATGAGATTCGGGATCCCAGATCTTGTGTTCATACGACATGCCCTTAATATTGTTTCAGTAATATCTCTATCCATCCCAACAAAAAAGCATGCAATATGCTTAAACAAATCCTGATCGTTTTTGGATGGCAAAGAGTCAAAGCTCATTCTCAATACATTTCTTATACGAGAACCGATTTCTTTCTTTAGCCCTTCTATGCACCCTTCCCAATAAGCTACATCTCGATTATGTAGTAACTTACCCAAAACTTCAAGAGCCAATGGATGTCCTTCACAATACTTCACAAGCTTTTCTAACACCTCTTCATAACCAACCTTGGGATCGTTGCACATGAATGCATGAAAACACAAAAGTTTTTGTGATTCATTCTCACATAAGCCTTGAAGCAAGTGTTTTGCATGCATGGGCTTACCAACTGTTTTGAATAGTGCACAACTCTCTGTTACCCACGCGTCTCTGGTTGTTATTATGATTTTGCTTCCTGGATGAAAAGGTTTGCTTCCAAGTAATGCGTCCAACTGATCGAGACTATCAATATCATCAAGAACTAGAAACACCTTTTTACGAGCTACCACATTCTCTATCTTTAAGGTGTATATAGAAACATCATGAACTTGAATCAAACTTTTCTTTGAAATGTTATCATAGAGTTGTTTTTGTAAATCAAGCAACCCATTAAAATTTTGACCACATCTCCTACTAATATCTTCAATATAGCTGCTTGTGCTGAATTCATGAGAATGTAACCCGTAGACATATTTGGATAAAGACGTCTTCCCGATCCCACCAATACCTAAAATAGTGAGAACGTCTGTCGTATGTGATGCATCTTTTAACCATGAAGTGACGAATTTGATGGAAGTGTCCATCCCGAAAAGTTGTTGCAAAGGAATCCGTGAGTATATACGTAATCTACGGTAGATGTCCTTAACAATTTCTTCAATGAACTCGGTCTCTGGCCTGAAACATTATTTTAATAAGAACCACAAACTAACAAAACCAACAAACCGGATTCAGATATTTAATTTACCCAAAGACCCAAGTAAAACTTATAGTATATTAAGCTATTATGCTTAACTAATATTTTTCGCATCAAAAGTATATTATATTTTCAGTTCTAACCATGTAACCATCTAATGCATGAGGTCGTAATTTGTATGTATAATACGACCAGAGCGAACAATGTAGAAAATAGTAAGTACATTGCTACTATGGGTAAAAACTGAAGTACATTGCCATTAAATCCCCCATATTGGTAAAAACAGGAAAAGTACCTTGCTATATCCTAAAATTCGCCCAATAACAAATGCAGAGTGTAAACTAGAAAATATATTTAGGGTGAAAATAACCTTGTTAATTGTACACTTATTACAAGAAGATGTCAGGGTATATAAAGAGGCAGGATCCCTAGACATATGAAACCCTACGGGCCGATGGGCTAAAACTAGGTTAATGCATATGTACAATATTTACATTCCAATACTCCCCCTCAAGCTGGATCATAAATGTTATACATTCCCAGCTTGTTACAAATTGCAGATATCTGCAAACCAGGTAAAGCTTTGGTAAAGACATCAGCTAGTTGGTTTCCTGTTCGAACATGAGGAGTAGAGATGGTTCCATCTTCTAGCTTTTCACGAGTGAAATGACAATCTATTTCGATATGTTTAGTCCTTTCGTGAAACACGTGATTGTTTGCAATATGGATAGTCGCCTCATTATCACAATACAGGTTCATTGGTTTTGATTGAGCAAACCCAATTTCACCTAACAAATTTCGTACCCATATCAGCTCACATGTAGTCTGAGCCATAGCCCTGTATTCAGATTCGACACTTGATCGTGAAACGACATTTTGCTTTTTACTTTTCCACGAAACTAGGTTCCCTCCGACAAATACACAATAACCTGTGGTAGACCGTCTGTTTGTAGGATCTCCATTGTAATCAGCATCTGTGAACCCTTCAATGACATGATGACCATGATTTTGATATAGGATGCCATGACCAGGAGCACCCTTTAGGTACTTTAGAATATGAGTAACCGCATCCCAATGAGAAGTTCGAGGTGACGACATAAACTGACTTACAACACTCACTGGAAAAGCAATGTATGGACGTGTAATCGTCAAATAGTTAAGTTTTCCCACAACTCTTCTGTATTTCTCTGGGTTCTCAAGTGGATCTCCATCGTCTGCTTTCAATTTCATATTCGGAACCATTGGGGACTCACAAGGCTTTGTTTCAATCATCCCAGAATCTCTCAGAATATCCAAGCAATATTTTCGTTGAGACAAACAGATCCCTTTTCGAGTACGAGATTCCCAAAAAATATTTTAAAGGACCTAGGTCCTTGGTTTGAAATCGAGATGCAAGAAAATCTTTCAGTTTCTTGATTCCAGTTCCATCACTCCCAGTAATCACAATATCATCAACATACACCACTAGCAGAATGCATCCAGAAGAAGATGAAGCAAAGAACACAGAATGATCATAAGAGCTTCTTCGTAAGCCAAACTCTTTTACCACAGCATTAAACCGTCCAAACCAAGCCCGAGGGGATTGCTTTAAACCATACAATGATTTACGCAACTTACAAACCCTGCCATACTCCCCCTGAGCAACAAACCCAGGTGGTTGCTCCATATAAACTTCCTCATGTAAATCACCATGTAGGAAGGCATTCTTCACATCTAGTTGGTGAAGGGCCCAGCCATAAGTAGCAGCTAATGAAATGAACAAGCGGATGGAAGATACCTTAGCCACAGGAGAGAATGTCTCTGAGTAGTCAACCCCATAAGTTTGAGCATATCCTTTAGCAACCAACCGTGCCTTCAGACGAGCCACAGATCCATCCGGGTTGACTTTCACCGAGAATACCCATTTACAACCGATCGCCTTTTTACCTACAGGTAATTCTACCAACTCCCATGTATTATTATGATCAAGAGCATTAATCTCATCAATCATAGCATCCCGCCATCCAGAATGGTTCAAGGCTTCACCAACCGTTTTAGGAACATGTATAGTATCAAGTGTAGAGATCATAGAGCGTGAAGCTGCAGACAGTTTACCATAGGATACAAAAGAGGCTATATGGTACGTACATGAACGCTTACCTTTCCTTAGGGCAATAGGAACATCAAGATCAGGTTCCCGTGTATCGGAAGGTGATGAATCGCTCATAGCAGGAGTCTCATCAGTACTTGGATCTGCAGAAGAAGATGGTATTGGATCGGGATTTGATGTAGGTAGTTGGCGTCTATATACGTGAATAATTGGTGGCTTAATATGCTCTTCACGTTGTGTGGAGTTACATGGGCTAGGAGACTCAGGAGCAGGTATGGTATATACCAACTGATCATCAGACACACTTGGGTTGGAACGATTGGTCATAGGAAAGAAGGGTATATTTTCATGAAATGTAACATCTCGAGATACAATGTACCAATTGAGTGTAGGAGAGAAACACTTGTAGCCTTTCTGAAGTCTAGAGTAACCAAGGAAGACACATTTCAAGGACTTCGGATCCAACTTGGTTAGGTGTGGTCGGGTATCACGAACAAAACACGTACTCCCAAAGATCTTTGGTTCGACAGGAAACAATGACTTTGTAGGAAATAGAACCGAGAGTGGACTCATACCATCCAAGACAAAAGAAGGCATTCTATTAATGAGAAAACAAGCAGTAGAAAGCGCATCAGCCCAATAAGTTTTAGGAACAGACATGTGAAATAGAAGAGCCCGAGCCACCTCTAAAAGATGACGATTTTTCCGTTCTGCGACCCCATTTTGGGCTGGTGTGTCAACACAGGAAGACTCATGAAGAATACCATTTTGAAGCATGTAAGACTGAAATGTTTGAGACAAATATTCTTTTGCGTTATCACTACGAAGGGTTTGGATGGCGGTTTTAAATTGTGTTTTAATCTCAGCATAGAATGAACAAAAATGTGTAAACACTTCAGATCGATTTTTCATAAAATAAAGTCAGGTAGTACGTGAATAATCATCAACAAACGTAACAAAATATTTAAACCCAAGTTTTGAAGTAACAGGGCATGGTCCCCAAACATCAGAATGGACTAATTCAAATGGGGATGAAACCCGCTTATTGACTCTTGAACTTAAATGAATACGTTGGTGTTTAGCAAACTGATAAGACTCACACTGTAAAGACGTTAAATAAGAAAACTCAGGACACAACTTCTTTAGATTCTGCAGAGACGGATGACCTAATCGACAATGAACTTCAAATGGGGATGAAGTGGATGACGCCAAAGAGTAAGGTGTTGGATGTTCGAATATGTATAGGCCATCAGATTCCCGTCCTCTACCAATAATCTTCTTCGTCGACAGATCCTGAAAGACACAATAATCAGGAAAGAATGAGACACAACACTTTAAGGCATGGGTAATTTTGCTAACTGATAATAGATTGAACGAGAAATTTGGTAGACTCAATACAGAGGATAAGGAAACAGATGGCGTAAGTTCAATAGTGCCAGAACCAAGAACATGTGGGGTAGACCCATCAGCGATCGTGACATGAGATGAAGATGTGTGTTTATCAAGACTAGAGAAGAGGGTATGATTACCTGTCATGTCATGTGATCTGAGGCACCTGAATCGATTACCCATTTTGAGGCAGAAGATAATAGGCATGTATTAGGGTTACCTTTTTCAGCAAATGCAGCAGTTGGACCAGTGGAGTTCTCAGTCTTTAAAAGGCGTGCATATTCTTCTGCGGGTATGGTAATAGTGTTGTCTGATGCAGAAGCAACATGTGCTGATGAGCTTTTCTGATTTCTAGACAAGAGCTTCTTACAAGTGCGTTTGGTGTGACCAAAATCATGACAATAATAACACTCAACGTCATCAGAAGTTGAGATAGCAACCCGTGATTCTGTAGTTCGGTCACTATGACCACCTCTAGAACCCCCTCTGTGACCCCCACGAGATCCTCCTCGGGAGCCACCATGAAATCCTCCTCGACTAACCAAAGCATTATTATGATCAGAAGGTTGTGGAGACTGAATATTCTCATTTCGAAGAACACGAGCAAATGTTTCTTGAAGGGAAGGAATGGCAGAGTCATTCAAAAACTGAGATCTGATAGAGTCGAATTCTGGTCGCAAACCAATCAAGAAACTGATTACAGCCACTTGTTCTCTCTGAGTTTGCATAGCTTGGACATCAGCACTCAAGGGAAGAAGGGAGTTGAGCTCCTCATATACTTTCTTAAATTACATGACATAAGTGGTGAGTGATCGATCTTGTTGTTCCCCACGATGAAAGGACTTACAAACACTATAGATTCGTGAGATGTTGCTTTGTCCAGAATATAAGAAGTTAAGATAGTCCATAAGTTCTTTCACATATTCACAATGACTAACCAGAGAAGAGACAGAAGGCTCGATAGTATTGACAATCTGCAAATACAAACGAGCATCACTTTGTAGCCACAAATCTGCAAATACAAACGAGCATCACTTTGTAGCCACAAATCAGAACCATCACCTTTGGGGGGATCAGATGTGAGATGAGAAGCCATTCCCATGCTTCGGAGGTAGATCCGAATAGTTTTGTTCCACTCAAAGAAATTGGAGCCATTAAGTTTGTTGTCGGTGAGTCTAGCAATTACCGGAAGCAACTCAGGTACTCGTGGACCACTGCTGCTAGATGATTCGTCTCCTCCGGACATCTTTACGAACTAGAAACAAATAAAAAAAGAGAACGGCACTCACAGGATGCCCTAATCAGAAAACGGTGCACTCACAAGGTGCTGGAACACTGATGAACAGTACCAGAATTGTGCTCGATGAACAGTACTTCGTGAACAGTAATCTCTCAATGCAAAAAACCCTCCAACCCTAAACCTCGCTCTGATACCATGTAAACTAATAAATATATTTAGGGTGAAAATAACCTTGTTAATTGTACACTTATTACAAGAAGATGTCAGGGTATATAAAGAGGCAGGATCCCTAGACATATGAAACCCTACGGGCCCATGGGCTAAAACTAGGTTAATGCATATGTACAATATTTACATTCCAATACAGAGCAAATTGTTCAAAATTTCATTATAACTGCAAAAAGTTATCAGGATGTATAATCTTATCTATACGAGTTAATTGGATCACATTATTGAAAAGTTCGATCTAATTTTAGTCATCTTCTGTATCCAATTTAAACATAGTAAGTTGATGTCTATTTCATGATACTAAAGAAGCTTATTGAAAATTTGAAATACATAAAGAAAAGATAATATTGATTTTTCATTATGCTAATCAAAGAAAATTGGAGTATGGAAATATAGGCAAGAAAGTGGTTACCTGCCATTTGCATTCTCCCCTTTTAAATTAGCAACTTCAGTAAGTGCTTTAATCCATCGGTCAATCTTTTGAGCCAAATGACTTCTTTTATTTTCATTTATCTCTGCATCCATCTTCAGTTTGTGTTCAGCCATTGAAAGTCCAAAGGTACTTTCTTGTTTTCTAATATGGGTGGGCTCCACATGATAGAAGATAGGGATAACAATTTGGTTGGATGTCATTCGTTGCTCAAGGATCAATACCAATTCATCAAGGCACCATGAAGAATTAGCATAATTTTTGGACAACACGATAATAGAAGCTCTGGATTCTTTAATCGCACTCTCCAATTCCGGTTTCAGATCTCCTCCAGTTTCAATCTCTTCATCATCTAAAAAGGTGGAGATATTGGCATCAAGGAGGGCCTTATGGAGATGATCAGTGAAACCATATCGAGTATCAACACCCCGAAAACTTAAGAATACATCATATTTATGATCTTTAGAAGATGAAGTAGATGATACTTCAATATATTCAGAAAGAACAACCATTATGGGTGATGGGAAGGGATGAGCAACTTGAGACGAGACTACAAGACTACAATCACATTAAAGAGTAAGTAGTGGCTTTTATATAGGAATCCAAAGTCAACTACTTTTGATAAAAGTCATACCTTGTGGACTTTTCTTCTAAACAAAAGAGTCATATATTGTGGACTTTTCTTCTAATTATAATAAATATTTTTTTCAGACCTGAATATGTAAAAGATAATTATTGAATCTTTATTCCTGTCCACAGATTTCGATCAAGTACTTTAATAAGTATAAAACTACAAAAATCGGGAGTGTGGATATCACTTTTTATGGATAAGGTGCACTAGTTTCATTTTTAGCATTATCATCCCTAAAACTTAGTTTCAGTGTGTTTAGTACCTATAACAGTCAAAACTGGTGTGCTTGATATACTTCATATTTTCTTTAACAACTCATCAATGGATATTAAAGGTCAAAGAAAGGAGAAGGTTGAAGTTTGAACAACATACAAAAAAACTCTGAATAAATATTTCATAAGTAAAATGATATGAAAAGTGAGGGTCCTGTTAAGAAGCTTATGGGATTTGGATCGTGAAATTCAATTGGGAAAGAGCGAAGAAACAAACCGAAAGCGATTATGAAATATTTATTCAGAGTTTTTTTGAATCGCAGCATACCAAAAACCAAATCGCTAAAAAGAAATTCTGAATCCGATTGTGAAATTGGATGGGGAAGACAAGAAACGAACCAAAAGCGAGCGCGCAAGTTTGCAACGCCTTGAACCTCGATGTAAAAATTAGCCATCATGAGGGGGGGCTGGTGTCAACCCATCTAATTCTGGTACGAAGCCCTCTATCTCTATGTCACCCACAACCGATTGCATCGTCTCTTCCATGACAAATAAGAGCTTTGATACTTGGTTTTTGGTAATAATTAATAAAGAATGTTTGCCACACTGTTTTGGGACAACGACAGTCAGATGGAGAGGAGGGCAGTAAGCTAATAGCAAGACAGAGGAGGGCGACGGTGGAGAAGTCATGTTGGAAAGAAACGGAGGAGGAGGGCGATGGAGCTAGCGGTGGTCAAAGAGGAGGGAGACAGAGGACCGGTGGTTGGAGTTGCAGAAATGGAGGGACTAAAACGCGATTGAAGTCGTATTAGGAATGGAGACATGAAGTTAAAATTGTTGGATTGTTCATAAAGGTATTCAACTTAAGGGAGGATTTTTGTAATTTATTTTTGGATAAATGAATTATTGTTTAAATATCATGGTTAATAAAACAAAATCAAAAACAACACAAAGTAATAAAAGACGATATTTTTTTATGCATTGCATGAAAATAAAATTTGAATATGCTTGCAATGAATAAAGTAAATGGGTTTGGAAAATGGTTTGAGCGTCCTTATTTTGTACCAAATAATCTCATATCTTGGACAATCTATCAATGAAAGTTTTTCATTGTCTAACATGGTTTGGTTTGTATAGATATATTAGATAGGGTATTTTTATAAGTTTGGAGATTCTATAAGGTGCAAATGTTCAATC